TTCGATTGCAATACAACCAAAATAATCATTAGTAAAATCAAAGATATTTTCACATTTTGGAATGTTCAATTAGATGATGAAAATTTAAAACATTTTTATGCTTTTGGGAGATAGCAGTGGTCAATCGAACCACACTTTACTTGTAAATCTCTTTTTTATTTTGACAAAATGGTCCTTTTGGAAAATAAGAAACAAAATCAAATATGATGGGATAAAAATGTCATCTACAGATATTTTGAATCTTTGGAAATCATACATGATAACCCATCTGAAATCTGTACCCTGTTATTTATCTAATAATACAATAGACAAAGAAAAAATAAACACATTAATTAATTTTATATGATAATTACAAACCTTGTAGGAGATAACAGTCACGATGTTATGTGGTCTGCCTTTTATGTCCCTTTAATTTGTATTAGGTAATCCATGGTTTAGAGGTGCACTCAATTATGTTATAATGTTATATTATTTATTACTAGTATTACATTCTAGAAAGATGTTCTTTTTCATTCATTGTCATATAATAGAATAATAAGTATTATTATGCATGTACTACTTTTTCTGGTAATACCGTGCACTTTTTTCAGCCTCCTGCTTCCCGGACAGTTGGTTTTAAATGTAAACGGGAATCCCCAGTTTGCATCCTGGGCAACTGAGGAAAATGTAAACAGGAAATTTTTTTGAAATAAACAAGTATCTATTTAAAAAAAAAAAAAAAAAAAAAGGCACTTAGATCATTCATTCTATGTTACAAACTATGCTATATCAAGTATTTAATCAGAATTGTATTGCACAATTAATAAAAAATTTAAGTTGAGTCCTAGTTAAAAATAGTTATAGCATCATATTTTAATTTTAGAAATTACGTATAAATATCGTTTGAAATTTACTGTTCATTATTAGATATTTTGAAAAGAGGTAAGTTTTATAGATTTTTTAAAGACACTGTATCAATGATGAATGATATTTTGGAAATTGTTTTTTCAATTTTTTGTAAATTTTTTTGAAGAACTTCGTGGTAGGTTTTTTTTTTTTTTTTATGAAGCGACCCCCTTTAAAAACTTAGTTAATATTGTCCATTAACAAATAAATAAATTGAATTCTTGATGCACTAAGGTAATATGGTCCATTTATAAATAAATAAATTAAAATTCTTGGTGTATATGGATATGATGAATCTAACCGTGTATTTAAATTGTTGATATTGGACAATAATAGGTAAAATCCAATTTGAAATTTTTCAGTTCTTTGACCACATTCATTCTGGGTCAGAATCCTATGATGTGTCAAATATTTAATCACAATCCAAATTCAGAGCTGTATCAAGTTGAAAGTAGTGTCCATACTAACCCCAACTGTTCAGGGTTCGACCTCTGCGGTTTTCTGGACAATAACTTTAGTTTAAGTGAATGGATCTCTATGATTTTTTACCAGAAGGTTCAATAACACAAAAGGAAGGTTGGGATTGATTTTGGGGGTGATGGTACCAACAGTTTAGGAATTAGGGGCCAAAAACAAGCATTTTTGTATTTTCTGGTCAATAATTTTTGAGTAAGTGTATGGATCTCTCTGAAATTATACCACAAGGTTCCATATCACAAAGGGAAGGGTGGGATTGAGTTTGTGGTTAATTTCCCCAAACGTTCAGGAATTAGGGGCAAAAAAGGGGCCAAAAACAAGCATTTTTCTAGTTTCCAGACAGTTATAACTTGTGTTTAAGTGTATGGATCTCTCTAAAATTGTACTACATGGTTCCATACCATAAGGAGAAGGCTGGGATTGAGTTTGGGGGTTATTACTCCAAAAGGGGGTGGGGGGGGTCAAAAAGTTTGGGGGATTTGTTTTTCCAATTTTTTTTTTGGGGGGGAGGGGGGGTTCATTTTTTTTCTTCAAAATTTTTGGAATTTCAAATTTTTGAAATCTTCAATCGCACAGTATTGCGCAATAGCCCAGTATCATGACACTTTGGTGAATTGTTTATATCTATTGATGTGAGCTCCTTTTTAATTTTTTTTAATTTTAGATTTTACGTTTCTGATTAATGGGGTTTTTACTCATTAAAAAGGGGGATTTTCCAATTATCGGACAATTAATCAAAAGTTCGTTGAGCAGTTTTCATGAAACTTTGGTGACTGGTTTATATCTATTAGAATAACCTCCCTTTAGTTTTTTTATAAAATTACATTGAGGAGTTATGGAACTTTATTCTTTGAAAATAGGCGAGCGTATCATGCGCTCATGGCACAGCTCTTCATTTAGGATTGATTTTTGTTTTGTTCACTTATTAAGGTGTATATATAATTTTTTTATTGTGTACAGTATGGTTTTTCATAACGATCCAGCGCCCTCGTAAGAAATTTGTTGACTAATATCTAGATGTTTTATATATATATATATATTTGCCTGAAAAGTGTACAAAACAGCACCAATATTAAAAAAAAAGGAAACAAAAAATATAAGTATCTATAAATATTTCGGATTACAGATATCCTCCATCAGCATGATAATAAATGATGTTGTACAATTCTTAAAATTCACAGGTGATGAAAGTTAAGTTATTACAACAGAGACTGTGTAGATATACATCCTCAATTTGCAATGAATAATACTACAATTTGAACTGGTATAATTCTAAAATTTCAAAGTTGAGGAAGTTTTAAGTAATTACAACAGAGGCTGCATATTTATACATCCCAAATTTTCCCCAATTTGCAAACGTTTACCCTGGAATACAGACAAATGCATATGAGAATAATGACAATGGATGCCAAATAATGACATAAGTGCACATGACCCTTATGAAGGTCTAAGATGGGGTTTACAGAATAGAGAATAATGGCCAAAAAAATATCAAATAATGAAAAATGAGCAAAAAATTTAAAAACTAAAGAATAATGGGGTGGAAAAGTATAAAGAATAAATATATATACTTATGGTAGATGTTAGTCAAAAGATATGAATCAGACTAGCTGTATGGTGGTATCCTTTATTTCAAGTTTGATGTGATAGATGCATTCCAAAACTTTGAACAAATTAGTGAGAGGATATCAGCTGTTTAGCAGATGGTGAAGTTAAAGGATAATGCTAGCTTCTTTTCATTCTTCTTGCAAAGCTCACATATGAAGTCATCCTCATAAAACTAAAAGAAGAAGTCAACAGGAAGAGGAGCACCTTCAGTTTGTTCCATGGGAATTTTCTTTTAAAAAACTTTATCCGAATATAACAAATGAGTTTACATACTATGAAGATGTGCATATCCACAGGAAATTATGATTCAATTTTTGTCTCGCCTTGTTGGAGTCAAAAAGCGAGACATAGGTATGCTGTTTCCGGCGGCGGCGTCAACAATGTATTAGTTTGTGATTAGGTCTAGTTCATGGTGAACCACTAGTGGTAGGTCAATGATATTTCGTATGCAGTTGTATTAGCATTGGCACATCTCATTACCATGGAGATTATTTGGCCCCACCCCCTCAGTCAAGGTCTATTGACTTTGAAACTTTTCATAGTTAACATGTATTAGTTTGTGATTAGGTCAATTTATGGGGAACCACCAGTGGTAGGTCAATGATATTTGGTATGCAGTTGTATAAGCATGGGCATATCTCATTTCCATGGAGATTTTTTGGCTCCGCCCCCTTAGTCATGGTCTATAGACTTTGAAAATTTTGCTAAGTTTACATGTATTAGTTTATGATTAGGTCAGTTCAAGGGGAACCATTAAAGGTAGGTCAATGTTAATTAGTGTTCAGTTGAATAAGCATTAGGACATCTCATTTCCATGGAGAGAATTTGGCCCCACCCCCTCAGTCATGGTCTATTTACTTTGAAACTTTTGCTTAGTTTACATGTATTAGTTTGTGATTAGATCAGTTTAAGATGAACTGCTAATGTTAAGTCATTGATATTTGGTATGCAAATTTATTGGCATTTGCAAGTATCGTTTCCATGGAGATTATATAGCCCCACCCCTGATCATGGTTCATTGACTTTGAAACTTTTACATAGTTTACAAGTTAATGTTTGTGTTTAGGTTTGTTTAAAGGGTACGACTTATAATAAGTCAATGGTATTTGGTATGCAGTTGTATTAGCATTGGCACATCTCATTCCATTGTTTAGCCATGTACCTTCAGTCATGGTTCATCGACTTTGAATATTTGAATAACTTACATGTTAAAGTATTGCAATTTTAATTTCGACATTTGGATTAACAAAATTGCAAAATGGCGAGACATATCTCTGTGATAACAGTTTATTTTTCTAGGAGTTATGCCCCTTTGCACTATTGGCATCAATATACTTCTGCAACAGTTTGTCATTGCAACTCGTCTGAAACTACACAACAGAATTCATGAAGCTTTGTAGATAATAAGGACATACTATGTAGATGTGCATATCGACTGGAAATTATGATTCAATTTTTTTTCTAGGAGTTATGCCCCTTTGAAGTTATTGGCCTCAATATACTACAGTCTGTCTGACTCTGTCAGTCCTGTTCTTGTAATCGCAACTCCTCTGAAACCACACAACAGAATTTCATGAAAGTTTGTGGATAATAAGGACATACTATGTAGACATGCATATCGACAGGAAATTATGATTCAATTTTTTTTCTAGGAGATATGCCCCTTTGGACTTATTGGCCTCAATAAACTACTGCAACAGTTTGTCATCGCAACTTCTCTGAAACTACTCAACAGAATTTCATGAAACTTTGTAGATAATAAGGACATACTATGTAGACGTGCATGTCGACAGGAAATTATGATTCAATTTTTTTTCTAGGAGTTATGCCCCATTGCACTTATTGGCCTCTATATACTACTGCAACAGTTTGTCATCGCAACTCATCTGAAACTACACAACAGAATTTCATGAAACTTTGTAGATTAAAAGGACATAATATGTAAATGAGCATATCCACAAGAAATTTGTGATAATTGTTTGTGAACTTGATTTGTCTACATAGAATTAACTTTCTTTTTTTATATTAAGGTTTTGATGATTCATGTATAGATCAAGCAGTTGGTCAAGTTAAAGATGAGAAACAAACTCAAGTAAATAACAAAGGTAACTAAGTTACAAGTTATTTGAAAAAAACCAAAAACAATCTGCTAGTTAGAAAGAAAGTACGAATGATGAAAAATTCTAGTGTCCACTTAATATAGTCCAAGGATACCTTGAGATTACAAATTCAGTAGACTTATTTTTCAAATTCCATGGGGGTGTGGGGTATGTGAGCCTGCTCACTAAGGTTCTTTAATTTGGTTATGATCTGTTCAAATAATTTCAGGATAATTTTTAATTCCTTTTTTGGTTTCAATCTTTTTAATTTTTTATACTGAGTGGCCAATTTTCCAAATTGTGTTCCCCTTAAACTATTTTGAAACTTCATTGGATATGAATCAGACTAATTGTATCAGTGGTATCCTTTATTCCAAGTTAGAGGTGATAGATGCATTCAACATAGTTACTAAACTTTGAATAAGTTAGTAAGAGGATATCAGCAGTAAAGATAATGCTAGCTTCTTTTCATTCTTCTTGCAAAGCTTACATATAAAGTCATCCTCATAAAGCTAAAAGAAGAGGTCAACTGGAAGAGGAGCACCTTCAGTTTGTTCCACAGGAATGCCAATTTTCTTTTGAAAAATTTGTCCGAATGAAACAAATGTGTTTGTCAATAAAAAAAAATCAAGTATCGTGACTTTAACAGTTTCAGAGAATTTTTTTTCAATCAGAGCGGTTTTACAAAAGTTTGATTTATTTTTACCTAAAACCAAATAATGCTGTCTTTGTTGCCCATTCTTTTTTATGACTTATACTTTCAAAATTTCAACAGATTTTGAACTGATTTTGGTATGTAACTCAGTAAATAGAATTTCAGATCTTAAATAGAATTAAATACATTTGAATTTTTTGTTTAAATTAAGCTGAATATGATTGTATTTCAAAATGTTATATTCATCAATAGTTGTCATTTCTGATAATTGTTTGTGAACTTGATTTGTAACTTGATTTGTCTACATAAAATTAACTTTCTTTTTTCATATTAAGCTTTTGATGATTCATGTATTGATCAAGCAGTTGGTCAAGTTAAAGAAGAGAAGCAAACTCAAGTAAATAACAAAGGTAACTAAGTTACAAGTTATTTAAAAAAAAAAAAAAAACAATCTGCTAGTTAGAAAGAAAGTACAAATGATGAAAAATACTAGTGTCCACTTAATATAGTCCAAGGATATCTTGAGATTTCAGATTCAGTAGCGTTATTTTTCCTTCAAGTGCCGTTTTGAGCACATATGCCAATTTATATATGTGGAACTTTTACATCAACTTTTCAAAACTATTGGGTTATTTAAATCACTTTAACCAAACTTGGTCGGAATGGTGTTGGGGACTAGGTGGTCGAGTGGTCTAAGTAGTCGAACTACTGTATCACTAGCCTGTCAACACTGAGTTTTTGGGTTCGAATCCCGCACGGGGCTGGTGCACCTGACTCCAATCTTAATTGACTAGGACTGTCAGTTTTCCTACCGAAGGTCGGTGGTTCTCTCCAGGCTCTCCGGCTTCCTCCACCAATAAAAACTGACCGCCATGAAATAGCACAATAGTGTTGAAAGTGGCGTTAAACACCAATCAATCAATCAGAATGGTGTTTGAAAGGTCTGTTACAGATATTCCTTATATGGTTATAATCTGATTTTAATATTGTTCAGATTGGTTTTTATTTTATTTCTATTTTGGTTTTGGTCTGATCTATATCTCCTAGTTATATTTTTAGCTCACCTGACCTGAAAGGTCAAGTGAGCTTTTCTCATCACTTTGCTTCCGTCGTCCGTAAACTTTTACAAAAATCTTCTCCTCTGAAACTACTGGGCCAAATGCACCCAAACTTAAACACAATCATCATTCAAGTATCTAGTTTAAAAAATGTGTCTGATGACCCCGCCAACCAACCAAGATGGAATAAAGAATTAAAGACAAACTATCCAGAAGTACCCAGAATTTTAGTAGGAAATAAAATAGACATAAGGGAAAATAAGAAAAAAATAGAAAAACTTCAGAAAGAAAAAAAAAACATAATCAATGATGAAACAGCTAGTGATGTGAAAGACATTCTTGGCATGAATGACTATGTAAGTTGCTCAGCTAAAATAAATACAGGTGTTGCAGATGTGTTCAAAGCTGCTGCTACTGCAGCTTTATAGCTAAATTAGACATTATTTGTACATAATTGTTGAGATACCAACCAAATGTGTGAAAGGAGTAAACTTTTTGTCAGATCTCAATCCTCACCTGATATGAATTATTTTCAAAAGTGAAATGTATTTTTTAGCTCACCTGACCTGAAAGGTCAAGTGAGCTTTTCTCATCACTTTGCGTCCGTCGTCCGTAAACTTTTACAAAAATCTTCTCCTCTGAAACCACTGGGCCAAATTTAACCAAACTTAGCCACAATCATCATTAGGGTATCTAGTTTAAAAAATGTGTCCGATGACCCCGCCAACCAACCAAGATGGCCGCCATGGCTAAAAATAGAACATAGGGGTAAAATGTAGATTTTGGCTTATATCTCTGAAACCAAAGCATTTAGAGGAAATCTGACATAGGGTAAAACTGATTATTAGGTCAAGATCTATCTGCCCTGAAATTTTCAGACAAATGTGACAACCTGTTGTTGGGTTGCTGCCCCTGAATTGGTAATTTTAAGGAAATTTTGCAGTTTTTGGTTATTATCTTGAATATTATTATAGATAGAGATAAACTGTAAACAGCAATAATGTTCAGCAAAGTAAGATCTACAAATAAGTTGTCATGACCAAAATTGTCAGTCGACCCCTTTAGGAGTTATTGAACTTAATAATCAATTTTTAACAATTTTTCGTAAATTTTTGTAATCTTTTACAAAAATCTTCTTCTCTGAAACTACTGATACAAATTTAACCATACTTGGCCATAATCATTATTAGGGTATGTATTTTAAAAAAATTTGTCCGATGACCCCGCCAACCAACCAAGATGGCCACCATGGCTAAAAATAGAACATAGGGGTAAAATGTAGATTTTGGCTCATATCTCTGAAACCAAAGCATTTAGAGTAAATCTGACATAGGGTAAAACTGATTATCAGGTCAAGATCTATCTGCCCTGAAATATTCAGACAAATCTTACAACCTGTTGTTGGGTTGCTGCCCCTGAATTGGTAATTTTAAGGAAATTTTGCAGTTTTTGGTTATTTTCTTGAATATTATTATAGATAGAGATAAACTGTAAACAGCAATAATGTTCAGCAAAGTAAGATCTACAAATAAGTTGTCATGACCAAAATTGTCAGTCGACCCTTTTAGGAGTTATTGCCCTTAATAGTCAATTTTTAACAATTTTTGTAAATTTTTGTAATCTTTTACAAAAATCTTTTTCTCTGAAACTACTGAGACAAATTTAACCATACTTGGCCATAATCATTATTAGGGTATATAGTTTAAAAAATTTGTCCGATGACCCCGCCTTCCAACCATCATGGCCAACTTAGTTAAAAATAGAACATAGGGGTAAAATGCAGTTTTTGGTTTATATCTCTGAAACTAAAGCATTTAGAGCAAATCTGACAGGTGGCAAAAATGTTCATCAGATTTAGATTTATCTGCCCTGAAACTTTCAGACAAATCCGACGACCCGTTGTTGGGTTGCTGCCCCTGAGTTAGTAATTTTACAAAAATTTTGCAGTTTTTTGTAGAGCCTGCGACTTTTGTTGCAGAAAGCTCGACATAGGGATAGCGATCCGGCGGCGGCGGCGGCGTTAGCTAACTTCTTAAAAGCTTTATATTTTAGAAGATGGAAGACCTGGATGCTTCATACTTTGTATATGGATGCCTCATGTTACGAAGTTTCCGTCAGTCACATGTCCAATGTCCTTGACCTCATTTTCATGGTTCAGTGACTACTTGAAAAAAAAGTTCAGATTTTTTGTAATGTTAAATTCTCTCTTATTATAAGTAATAGGATAACTATATTTGGTATGTGCGTACCTTGCAAGGTCCTCATGCCCGTCAGACAGTTTTCACTTGACCTCGACCTCATTTCATGGATCAGTGAACAAGGTTAAGTTTTCGTGGTCAAGTCCATATCTCAGATACTATAAGCAATAGGTCTAGTATATTCGGTGTATGGAAGGACTGTAAGGTGTACATGTCCAACTGGCAGGTGTCATCTGACCTTGACCTCATTTTCATGGTTCAGTGGTTATAGTTAAGTTTTTGTGTTTTGGTCTGTTTTTCTTATACTGTATGCAATAGGTCTACTATATTTGGTGTATGGAATGATTGTAAGGTGTACATGTCTAGCTGGCAGGTGTCATCTTACCTTGACCTCATTTTCATGGTTCAGTGGTCAAAGTTAAGTTTTTGAGTTTTGGTCTTTTTTTCTAATACTATATGCAATAGTTGAACTATATTTGGTGTATGGAAATATTTTATGATCTATATGTCAGTCACGCAGGTTTTATTTGACCTTGACCTCATTTTCAAGGTTCATTGCTCAGTGTTAAGTTTTTGTGTTTTGGTCTGTTTTTCTTAAACTATAAGCAATAGGTCAACTATATTTGTTGTATGGAAGAATTGTTAGCTGTACATGCCTGCCTAGCATGGTTCATCTGACCTTGACCTCATTTTCATGGTTCATTGGTCAATGTTTAGTTTACTTGGTTAATGTTAAGTTTATGTGACAGTTGTAATAAAGCTTTATATTTAGGACTATCAACATGATATCAATGATTAGTAAAGAAGGCGAGACATTTCAGCGTGTGCACTCTTGTTGTTATTATCTTAGATATCATTATAATATCTAATATCTAATACTATTAATTATGATTTTAACCTTATTTTACATGATTTCCAAAGCATCAGTAAATACAGGTGAGTGACACAGGCTCTTGAGAGCCTCTAGTTTGAATGAGTGGCTAATTTTCCAAATTGTGTTGCCTTTAAACTTTTTTTTAAACTTCATTGGATAGAAGATTTGACCACCCTCTGAAAATGATGATTTTGGTTGCAAACATGCGTCATGGTGACATTGGTGGCACAAAGATCCCATTCATTCACATCTTTGTATTCTGAATGTACAAAGCAAATTTTAACCAAATTTGTGTCTGAATAGTGTATGGAAGGTCCTCTTTGGATGATCCTTATTATAAGGTTTAGCTCTGATTAAAGCAAGGGTTGCAGTCTTTGGTTGGGAGTTAGTAATGATAGATAAACTCTTTATAAAAATACAAGGCACAATATATATTTAAATATCATTATACATTCTATTGCAAAATGTTTATCAATCAGTAGTTGTAACTTCTGAAAAGTGTTTGTGTATTTAATTTTCTAATTATATCTGTATAAATTTTGTTATTTTATGCTAAGAATGTGATGTTTCATTTTAAGTTAAAGAAGTATGCAAAGAGGTAAAAGAAGAAGAAAGTGTAGGAAATGGTAGAGGTAAATAAGTTACAAGTGATTTGGGAAAAAACAGTAACAGTCTGCCAATTAGAGAGAAAGTAGGATTCATGAAAAATATTAGTGTCCATTTAATATTGTCCAGGGCAGTAGAGTTATTTTTCTTCAGTGGTCTCTTTGAGAACATATATATGCAGATTTTATAGCTGTTGAAATTTTGCGTCATTTTTAACCAGATTGTCAAAGGAAAATATCGATTATTAATTTGGTGATGTACAACCCAAGAGAAAATATATCTGGAATCCCACCTGATTCCACTGGGATAAAATTTCGGGATTCCCGCAAAAGAAGCAGGATTCCTATGTAAATCCCGGTGGAAATATACTGGGATATTGTGGGATTTTGATTGGAATATACTGGGATTCCCGGAAAAAATCGGGATCCTGAAATAAATCCCAGTGGAAATATACTGGGATATTGTGGGATTTTGATTGGAATATACTGGGATTCCCGGAAAAAAAATGGGGATCTCGAAATAAATCCCAGCAGGATATACTGGAATTCCATGCACGTTCTTGACTCCACTGGGATTCCTGGTTTATTTATTTATTACCTTTGCGCAAGTTGCGAAAGGATACATGATGTAAAGTTCTCCTCCTTTCTGTAAATAAATTTGCTGTCTCTGTACTTCCAACTAGTATTGCTGAGTAAAGGTAACTGGAATCTGCATGCAATCTGTTTACTGTCAAAACTTGCAGCTCCATTTAAGCAAATCATTAAATCCCCTAAAAGTATCAAAAAAATCCACAAAGAATCAATTGTTCAAGACGTTTTGAAGCAATAAATTCAATAGAAATATTATTGCATGTTTATACAGTAGATTGGAAGCCATTTGGAATCAAATTAATTACCCCCCCCCCCCCCCTTTTTTTATCCCCCGAAGATAAACAACTAGCGACTTATTATTTTCACCAAATAACCATTCACACAACTCAATTAAATTTTTACATATCTACCAGTTATGTCTGTTATGTGACAACAAGATTATTCATTGTTTTATGTTAAAAATAGATATATTTTCAGTTAATGCTTTCAGACTTTCTGATGTCGATTTGCTCAAATAAAAACCATAAAAAAATCTTAGTTCTTCAATGAATTATTTTTTATAATCATTATATACACATATACACAAGTTAACTTTAATTGTTAATGCATTTATCTGAAAACATCTGCATCGTATTCCTCCATAATCAGCGTAATCAGAATTTGATGACGTATTTATCCAGTACACTAACGTCGATATGACAATCTCGCCCCATATTATACCGGTAACGGTATTATAAAAATAAATCAAGGGTGTCGCATAAAATAATTTATTACTAGCCAGATTTTAAATATAAGAAAAAAACAACTCTAATTTAATCGGCACAGGCTGCATGCGGATGAACTAGTGGCTGCATTATCTAGGACGGTATTTTCTAGGGTCGGACTGTTCAGTACAATTACAAACAAAAAACATGTGGTCATGACTTGTTTACATTTTACATAAGTGGATAAACCAACGTGTTACGATGTCAATCATTGGCCTATCATTGACATATGCCGGACAACAATTAATGTAACACTTATGTAAACTTGGAAAAAATCAGAAATGCCCCAACTTGTCTGGCAAAACAGCCATTGACGTTTCTCGGACGCCCTGCCATTTTTATCGCGAAAATCTCGGCATTTTCTGACTTAGAAATACTAAGTCCAATAAATTAAGACGTCTTGAAAGGCTATTAAATTTTTTTTCTTTGACGCCTTACATCGTCGCAGGAAGGCGTCAAAGCAAAAATTTGGTGTCATACACATTGTTAATTAACACCAATAAGCTTTGCTTTATGTCATAAATAATTGTGTATTTCAAAAATGTTTGACAAAAAAGGAAGGCGTCCCAGAAAAAAATTAAAATACTAGCCTTGCCAGACGTCATAATTATTTGGACTACTTACGTGGCTGTAAATGGATAAAAAACATATTTGTTAAAACAATCATGCTATTTGAATAGATCCATATGCGTTTTCAGATTCAGCAATCAACAACTTTCTGTTTACCAAACACTTACATATTTTTCCACTCAAAATTCTGGTTTATGTTTTCCCGTTTCAACTAGAATGGGATCCGGCTTCAGACAGTTATCCCGAATGGGATCCCAGTTTCAGATATTTATCCCGTTTCAACTAGAATGGGATCCCGGCTTCAGACAGTTATCCTGAATGGGATCCCAGTTTCAGATGCTTATGCCGGCTTGTCCCGCCGATTTCACCGGGATTTCATTTGGATCCCAATGGATCCCGTTTTCATTTTCTCTTGGGAAAGGCTGGGCGGTTGGCTGCGAAACAGTGTCTGTGTAATTACTTGAAATCAATTTGGCGAAATCTTTTCAAATTAGATATGTTGCTTCCCGTGAGAAAATGTAGGTCAAGTTTGTTTTCAGGATTTAAGCTTTAATTGTTGTTGAGTTGTAGACCTATAAGTAGCGAAAAGTGATACTTTTTTTTTTTTTTTTTTTTTTTTATTTGTTTTTCAGTAGTCAGGCTTTTACAATCCCTGTACATCACCACCTGACTATGGTGTTAAGGGGTTTGATACAGGAAACAAAAAAATTAATAATTGACTACATTTTTTTTCTACTGTCATGACTATGAATATATATTATATGAATATCAACGTTATAATAACTAGAGGCTCTAAAGAGCCTGTGTCGCTCACCTTGGTCTATGTGCATATTAAACAAAGGACACAGGTGGATTCATGACAAAATTGTGTTTTGGTGATGGTGATGTGTTTGTAGATCTTACTTTACTGAACATTCTTGATGCTTACAATTATCTCTATCTATAATGAACTTGGCCCTGTAGTTTCAGTGGAAATTATTTTGTAAAAATTTACAAAATTTATGAAAATTGTTAAAAATTTATTATAAAGGGCAATAACTCCTTAAGGGGTCAATTGACCATTTTGGTCATGTGACTTATTTGTAGGTCTTACTTTGCTGTACATTATTGCTCTTTACAGTTTATCTCTATCTATAATAATATTCAAGATAATAACCAAAAGCTGAAAAAATTTCTAAAAATTACCAATTCAGGGGCAGCAACCCAACAACGGGTTGCCTGAATGGTCTGAAAATTTAAGGGCAGATAGATCTTGACCTAATGAACAATTTTGTTTTTGAAAGATTTGCTAGAAATGCTTTGGGTTTAGATATATGAGCCAAAAACTGCATTTTACCCTATGTACTATTATTAGCCATGTCGGCCATCTTGGTTTGAGGGCGGGGTCATCAAACACAATTTTTAAACTACATACCCTAATGATGATTGTTTACAACTTTAGTTAAATTCATCTAAGTAGTTTCAGAGGAGAAGATTTTTGTAAAAGATAACAAAAATTTACGAAAAATTGTTAAAAATTGACTATAAAAGAGCAATAACTCCTTAAGGGGTCAACTGACCATTTTGGTCATGTTGACTTATTTGTAGAACTTACTTTGCTGAACATTATTGCTGTTTACAGTTTATCTCTATCTATAATAATATTTGAGATAATAACCAAATAAGGCAAAATTTCCTTAAAATTACTAATTCAGGGGCAGCAACCTAACAACGGGTTGTCCGATTCATCTGAAAATTTCAGGGCAGATAGATCTTGAGCTAATAAACATTTTTACCCTTTGTCAGATTTGCTCTCAATGCTTTGGTTTCAGAGATATAAGCCAATATCTACATTTTATCCCTATGTTCTATTTTTAGCCATGGCGGCCATCTTGGTTAGTTGGCCGGGTCACCGGACACATTTTTTAAACTAGATACCCTAATAATGATATTGGCCAAGTTTGGTTAAATTTGGCCCAGTAGTTTCAGAGGAGAAGATTTTTGTAAAAGTTTACGGACGACGGACGTCAAGTGATGAGAAAAGCTCACTTGGCCCTTTGGGCCAGGTGAGCTAAAAAGGGGAAAAGAAAACAATCACACACACATACACCCACTCTTGCACTTGCGTTAACATGACATATATCAACTTGTGTATTGCAAAGAAAAATGTTATCTTTGTAAAGATCTGCTCTTTATAAACTAAGTTTCATTTTTTACTGTATATGATTTGAATCAAAAGTAATTGTTATTGTAATTGGACAATAAAACAAATCAAATGAAATATTGGGGAAGCCCATGGGGGTAACCCCCACCCCCTTCTTTTTGATAACTTGTAAACGGTCGAGATCCCCACCCCTGAACCATATAAATTCTTGAATGGGACATTAAAACAAATCAAATGAAGTTGAGGGGAAGTCCCCTGGGGTAACCCCCACCCCCTGCTTTTTGAAAACTTGTAAATGGTCAAGATCCCCACCCTGAAACCATAAAAATTCTTGTATGGGACAATAAAACTAATCAAATGAAGTAAAAGGCGGAGTCACCTGGGGTCACCCTAACCCCCTCCTGTTTGAGTACTTGTAAACGGTCGAGATCCCCACCCCTAAACCATATATATTCTTGTATGGGACAAAAACACAAATCAAATGAAAATATAATAATAGGGGAAGTCCATGGGGGTCACCCCCACCCCCTTCTTTTTATTGAGAACTTGTAAACGGTCAAGATCCCCACCCCGAAACCATATATATTCTTGTATGGGACAATAAATCAAATCAAATGAAATATAGAAGAAGTCGTTGGGGGTAACCCCAACCCCCCTTCTTTTTGATAACTTGTGAACGGTCAAGATCCCCACCTCTAAACCATATATATTCTTGAATGGGACAATAAAACAAATCAAATGAAATTGAGGGGAAGTCCCCTGGGGAAACCCCCACCCTCTTTTTTTTTTGAAAACTTGTTAACGGTCAAGATCCCCACCCCGAAACCATATATTTTCTTGTATGGGACAATAAAACAAATCAAATGAAATATAAGGCGAGTCCCCTTGGGTCCCCACCCCCCTCCTGTTTGAGAACTTGTAAACGGTCAAGATCCGCACCCCTAAACCATATATATTCTTGTATGGGACAATAAAACAAATCAAATGAAATATAGGGGAAGTCCAGGGGGGGTCACTCCCACCCTCCTTTTTTAGCACACCTGGCCCGAAGGGCCAAGTGAGCTTTTCTCATCACTTGGCGTCTGTCGTCAGTCGTCGTCGTTAGCTTTTTACAAAAATCTTCTCCTCTGAAACCACTGGGCCAAATTTAACCAAACTTGGCCACAATCAACATTAGGGTATCTAGTTTTAAAAAGGTGTCCGATGACCCTGCCAACCAACCAAGATGGCCACCATGGCTAAAAATAGAACATAGGGGTAAAATGTAGATTTTGGCTTATATCTCTGAAACCAAAGCATTTAGAGTAAATCTGACATAGGGTAAAACTGATAATCAGGTCAAGATCTATCTGCCCTGAAATTTTCAGACAAATTTGACATCCTTTTGTTGGGTTGCTGCCCCTGAATTGGTAATTTTAAGGAAATTTTGCAGTTTTTGGTTATTATCTTGAATATTATTATAGATAGAGATAAACTGCAAACAGCAATAATGTTCAGCAAAGTAAGATCTACAAATAAGTTGTCATGACCAAAATTGTCAGTCGACCCCTTGAGGAGTTATTGCCCTTAATAGTCAATTTTTAACAATTTTTTGTAAATTTTTGTAATCTTTTACAAAAATCTTCTTCTCTGAAACTACTGAGACAAATGAATTTAACCATACTTGGCCATAATCATTATTAGGGTATCTAGTTTAAAAAATGTGTACGGTGACCCCGCCTTCCAACCATCATGGCCGACTTGGTTAAAAAAAGAACATAGGGGTAAAATGCAGTTTTTGGTTTATATCTCTGAAACTTAAGCATTTAGAGCAAATCTGACAGGTGGCAAAAATGTTTATCAGATTTAGATTTATCTGCCCTGAAATTTTCAGACGAATCCGACAACCCGTTGTTGGGTTGCTGCCCCTGAGTTAGTAATTTTACAAAAATTTGGCAGTTTTTTGTTATTATCTTAGATATCATTATAATATCTAATATCTAATACTATTAATTAAGATTTTAACCTTATTTTACATGATTTCCAAAGCATCAGTAAATACAGGTGAGCGACACAGGCTCTTGAGAGCCTCTAGTTTTGAAAACTTGTAAACAGTCAAGATCCCCACCCCAAAACCATATATATATTCTTGTATGGGACAGTAAATCAAATCAAATGAAATAAAAGGCGAGTCCCCTGGGGTCACCCCACCCCCTCCTGTTTGAGAACTTGTAAACGGTCGAGATCCCCACCCCTAATCCATATATATTCTTGTATGGGACAATAAAACAAATCAAATGAAATATAGGGATAGTCCCCTGGGGTAACCCCCACCCCCTTTCTTTTTGAAAACTTGTAAATGGTCAAGATCCCTACCCCAAAACCATATATATTCTTGTATGGGACAATACAACAAATCAAATCAAATATAAGGTGAGTCCCCTTGGGTCATCCCACCCCCCTCCTGTTTAAGAACTTGTAAACGGTTGAGCTTTTCATTATTAATAAGATAATACCACATTGAGGTCCAAAGGGTCCTAAATTAAACTTTTGTTTAATTTCATCAAATATTGGATTCTTTGGTTCTTTGATATGCTGATTCTAACAATGTTTGAGTGTTAAATCATATCTAATTTTAGAGAACTTAGTCATCACTGGTTGTTGTTATAATATTATTGATTATAATTTGAAAAATTGCATCATATCTTATTTTAGAGAACTATTTCTCCAGTTTGAGTTATTTCCATTTGCACAGAAAATATTATGGATAAAATTAACCTGTGTTTCAACATAAATTAAATATATATATAGGGTTCTTTCAAATGCCGAATCTAAACTCTATTTAAATATTAGATTTTTAGGCTCAGTTTTCAAGTTGGTCCAAATCAGGGTCCAAAATTAAACTTTGTTTGATTCAACAAAAAATTGAATTTATGGGGTTCTTTGAAATGCTGAATCTAACCATGTATTGAGAGATTTTGGATTGTGGGCTCCTTTATCAAATTGGTCTACATTGAGGTCCAAAGGGTCCAGATTAAACTTTTGTCTGATTTCATCAAAAATTGAATTCTTGGGGTTCTTTGATATGCTGATTCTAATATGTACTTAGATTTTGGATATTGGACCATAATAGGTATTTAAATGTCCAATTTCAAATATATCAGTTCTTTGACTACATTCATTTTGTGTCACAAACCTATGATGTGTCAAATATTCAATCACAATCCAAATTCAGAGCTGTTTTAAGTTTAAATGTGGTGTCCATACTTGCTCAACTGTTCAGGGTTCAACCTCTGCAGGAAAATCCGGTTTGCTGTCTCTCTGACAGCCTCTTGTTCTTAGTTTCTTTTGTTACCTATTCTGACATGGAACTCAGACTTTTTTTGTACTGAATTTTACTGTGCGTATTGCTGTGTGTTTGTTTATTCTACATTGGCTAGAGGTATAGGGGGAGGGTTGAGATCTCACAAAACATATTTAACCCCGCCGCATTTTAGCGCCTGCCCAAAGTCAGGAGCCTCTAGCCTTTGTAAGTCTTGTATGTTTTTTAATTTTAGTTCATTTATATGTTTTGGAGTTTAGTGTGACGTCTGTTTTCACTGAACTAGTACACATTTTTGTTTAGGGGCCAGCTGAAGCCCGCCTCCCGGTGCGGGATTTTCACGCTGTGTTGAAGACCAATTGGTGGCCTTCGGCTGTTTTCTGCTCTTTGGTCGGGTTGTTGTCTCTTTGACACATTCCCGATTTCCATTCTCAATTTTAATTAAGGTTATCTCAAATATAAAACAAAATCACAATTGTAAACATACATATTCTTATACTGCAGATAATAAGCATTACAAAGAAGTATGTGTAGTCGTAGTTGGAGATGGGGCCTGTGGAAAAACATCTCTTATAGAAGTGTTTAAAACAGGAGAATTCAAGAAGAATCATATACCAACTTGCTTTCAAACATACAATTCCTCAATTACAGTTCAAGGAATAGAGGTATGTTAAAAGAGCATTTTGAGGATAGTGATTAAGCTATACAGTATCTCATAACAATGGGGACAATCAGTGTACAATTATTCTAAAAGAAAACACTACTTCACCAAAAAACAAAATATATAGTCTGTGTCTGCTTTACCAGTTTAAAAAGACCGAAGAAAATAACTCTATTAAAATTTGTATACCCTATTTCTATCATTATTTAGTCCATTTAACAAAATTTTACATTCAAATAACTCACAAACTTTTATAATGCAGTGTAGCTTATAATCCAACATAAATCCTTTCATCGTCATGGTGTATTGAATATACGTTCATTTTGATTATTTTATTAAAGCAGGTCCACTAAAATTGAAGCTGTTGTCCATGCTTTGTAAAACTCCCTGAATATTTAACAAATTTTGTGTATTAAAAAAAAAATCAGCCACAGAGTGTATCTATATATTAACTTCACAATAAAATTATGTCCATTTACCAGTTAAATGTTCAAGTTACATAAACTTCCATGAAGTTTTTTGACTAAATTATAATTTGATGAGTTTTTATGATGGCATACATATGTTTTTATCTGATTATTAAAACAATAATTATGAATGTTTTAATCAAAATACACATATAAAAAAGTAAGAAAATATATACAAATTACATAAAAAATATATGAAAAAAGGCTGAGTGGTGCAATAACATTAACATTACCTATTTTCTGCACCAGATGCGCATTTTGACAATAAATGTCTTTTCAGTGATGCTTGAAACCAAAATATTTGAAAACCCAAAACTTATTAAGAAAATGGAGAGCTTTTAAACCAAATAAGACAAAGGAGTATAGTCAAAGCTGGGTAAAGAATCAGAACTTTGTATGAGGGAGATATTTGATTCCTTAATTTATAATAATTTCAAAATTTTGTAAATGCTAACTTTAATAACCCATTATTCTTATTTTCATGTCAGTAGTGAGTACCGAAATGTTTAATGTCAATCTAAGTGTAAAAAATTTCATAGAGTTTTACTATACAAACAATACAAATGAAAAACATTAAAAGAACACTTACACACATTAAGAATTTTAAATTAAAAATCTACATTTTTCCTCTCTCTTTCAAAGGTCCAACTTAAAGTGAGGGACACACCTGGTCAAGAAAATTTTGCCGACATGAGGAGCAAAGCCTATCATGATGCTGATGTATTTATTGTGTGCTTTGCAGTAGACAATCAAGATAGTTTTTCTAATGTGAATTCAGTTTGGAATAAAGAATTAAAGACAAACTATCCAGAAGTACCCAGAATTTTAGTAGGAAATAAAATAGACATAAGGGAAAATAAGAAAAAAATAGAAAAACTTCAGAAAGAAAAAAAAAACATAATCAATGATGAAACAGCTAGTGATGTGAAAGACATTCTTGGCATGAATGACTATGTAAGTTGCTCAGCTAAAATAAATACAGGTGTTGCAGATGTGTTCAAAGCTGCTGCTACTGCAGCTATATAGCTAAATTAGACATTATTTGTACATAATTGTTGAGATACCAACCAAATGTGTGAAAGGAGTAAACTTTTTGTCAGATCTCAATCCTCACCTGATATGAATTATTTTCAAAAGTGAAATGTATTTTTTAGCTCACCTGACCTGAAAGGTCAAGTGAGCTTTTCTCATCACTTTGCGTCCGTCGTCCGTAAACTTTTACAAAAATCTTCTCCTCTGAAACCACTGGGCCAAATTTAACCAAACTTGGCCACAATCATCATTAGGGTATTTAGTTTAAAAAATGTGTCCGATGACCCCGCCAACCAACCAAGATGGCCGCCATGGCTAAAAATAGAACATAGGGGTAAAATGTAGATTTTGGCTTATATCTCTGAAACCAAAGCATTTAGAGTAAATCTGACAGGGTAAAACTGATTATCAGGTCAAGATCTATCTGCCCTGAAATTTTCAGACAAATCTGACAATCTGTTGTTGGGTTGCTGCCCCTGAATTGGTAATTTTAAGGAAATTTTGCAGTTTTTGGTTATTATCTTGAATATTATTATAGATAGAGATAAACTGTAAACAGCAATAATGTTCAGCAAAGTAAGATCTACAAATAAGTATCCATGACCAAAATTGTCAGTCGACCCCTTTGAGAGTTATTGCCCTTAATAGTCAATTTTTAACAATTTTTCGTAAATTTTTGTAATCTTTTACAAAAATCTTCTTCTCTGAAACTACTGAGACAAATTTAACCATACTTGGCCATAATCATTATTAGGGTATCTAGTTTTAAAAATATGTCCGATGACCCCGCCTTCCAACCATCATTGCCGACGTGGTTAAAAATAGACAATAGGGGTAAAATGCAGTTTTTGGTTTATATCTCTGAAACTTAAGCATTTAGAGCAAATCTGACAGGTGGGAAAAATGTTCATCAGATTTAGATTTATCTGCCCTGAAATTTTCAGACGAATCCGACAACCCGTTGTTGGGTTGCTGCCCCTGAGTTAGTAATTTGGCAAAAATTTTGCTGTTTTTTGTTATTATCTTAGATATCATTATAATATCTAATATCTAATACTATTAATTATGATTTTAACCTTATTTTACATGATTTCCAAAGCATCAGTAAATACAGGTGAGCGACACAGGCTCTTGAGAGCCTCTAGTTATTTCATTAAACAGTATGTAGATATTGAAGGAAACCAGGCCAGATTCTGTTCGTGTGCCCTGTTCATGTCCTTTCTTATAAGATTAACATTTTAGCATTGCCACATATATTACAATAAGAAAGCATAACTTTTGTATTGTTCGATTAACTGTCAGAAATTTGAATACTCTTTGATATGACATCATTATACCCAATGTTTTATAGTTATGCAGGGTATAGTGTTTGACCATTCTTTCCCTTTTGTATGTCCATTAGTCATTTTCGTTTCCGGTTTCATACTGCAATATTTCATATCAAATTGCAACCATACTTGAATATGTATTCTAATGCAATTATTTTGTATAAATGGTTCTGATTGGATGACAGTAAGCGTAAAATTCTCTATCTCCTTGTCTGTAACTAAGGAAGCCGACATTTTGAATTGCGGAATGTATTGACATGTAATTTCTACAATAATAAGCAAATAAACTCACATGTTGCACCTAGAAATCGTCTTTTTATCAAATTTTATTACATTCTGAAGCGACCAAGATGCCAGAAAACTCCCGGTGTTTACATTTGACGCCGGAAGCATACCTATGACGTCACCTAGTTTAGGGGCCAAAGAAGATAACATCTTTTCACGGAAATTTCTTTAATGAAAATTTTACACTGAAATAATGATTGAAATTGAACTGTGTACTTGTTTTGCATTAGAATAGAGATAACTGTATTGTATTTGAAGCTTTGCGGACGTCCATCGGTAGTTTTACTGTCGCAAAATACCCGTTTACCTGTCTCCGCTACGCGTCGCCAGGTAAACTAAATTTGCGACAGTAAAACTACTGATGGACGTCCGCAAAGCTTCAAATACAATACAGTTATCTCTTAAATATTATCACATATGATAAGAGGAGATTCCTATTGTTTTTTGGTTCACTAAAAAAGTGGTTTCAAGATGCTAAATCAAATACTTAATTATGGATTACAGCCATACTAGGTTAAATGGTAACATATAGTAATAGGAAGATAGTTATTAATTTTGAGGTCATTACATCCAAGGTAAAGATCATAGTTACAAAAATAGACTGAAATTTAAGCAGAAAAGTGTTTTATTGATGCTAAATCGAATAATTAATGAGAGATTATAAACAAAAATTGGTTATATGGTCGCATATAATAAGGGGAAAATCCAAATTGATTTTGAGGTCACTACTTCCAAGGTTATGGTCATAATTAGATGTTATTGAAAATAGACTGAAATTAATGCATAAAAGTGATGTAAATCATATACTACACACAGGATTGCAACTCTACTTGGATATATGGTCACATATACAATGAGGGGAAAATATCAATTTATTTTGCGGTCACCTCATCAAAGAACTAGGTGAATGCCACTAAAATAGACTGAAATTTGTGAATAAAAGTAGTTTCCAGATCAGGGCTTCCAAAATGGTTGTATTGTCCGGACTTGACCGGTAAATTATTTATTTGACCAGTCATAAAACTGACATGATGAATAATTTCTATCAAAACAAACCCTACTTTAATACCCCCTCATTACAACCAAGGCTAATTAGTTGTCTGACAGCTGAAATTTACCTGTTCAGACGACAGGTCAACTATTTTGTACCTGGACATTGATTGGTCTATTTAAAGGTATTTACTGAAATTTCGGCGGTTTGCATCTAGTCAAAAAGATTGAGAGTAACAGAAATACGTATATACATATGATTTGATGAAAAATTTAAAAAGTTAGTTATAAAGGTTTTAATCGAAAAATCATCAGAATCACGTTGTTTGAACTAGTACACGTGTGCCCATGTGCGCAGGAGTGAGATTTAATTAATCATCCAAAATTTTAAAAAATGCTTAAATTATCATTGATAGTTTTATTTGACTTTTATTTCTAGTATTTTTCAGAAGAAATAACTTGGAAAGAGCTACCTAAACTCAATCGTGCTTTGTAAACGTATACTGATTTACGTATCCGTCGCTGGTCCGTGTTTTACCATTCTTCTTTTTCTCTATTCTTCCCTCCACTGTCTGGAGTACCACTGTGGCATTTACCAAAATCTAAAAGCACCTTACGTGTCACCGAAATATCAATGTTACTGTCACAATCTGTTACTTGATTCACACATCAATAGGGTATGCAGAATATGGGTTCTTACTTTCTATTGTTCATTCTAAGCCAATAACACACCTTTGTTTTCCATTTGTTAGATGTGTTTGAGCCTTTGATTTTGCCATTTATAAAGGACTTTACGTTTGGAATTTCCCTTGGAGTTCGGTATTTTTGTTTTTTGACTTATATAGGTACTTTTTATAAGTCGCCTTACTCTGCACCAGTAGACTTATAAATCCTGATTCAAAAAGGGATACAATAAATTGAATTAGGGACAAACAAAAGTATTCACGTTCAAAGACTTTGTGCATAGCTCATAGCAAGAGTTACATAATATATTTATATATATAGATATTGGTCAGATATATCAAAAGTTTAACTTATACCTTATTTAAGACCATTGCAAAGAGTTATTTAAGTGGTCTACAAATACTACTCAATTATACAACTTAACCATTCACATAAACTTTAAGTTTCAGCCTTACGAACTCAACTATAAGTTTTGCAAAAATAGGGCAACATTGCCTGTCCTTAACAATTGACTGATTATTTAAGTCTTATTTTGATAAATTTACTTTGAATATTATGTCATATTAAATAGTTTTCAATGACATTGCCACCATAACTGCTAGCTTAATCCATATTTGAACATCTTTTATGGTGTAAGGCATATACTATTCCTCTTGATATGGCCTCTATTTTCTCCATCCGTAAGATAGTCTGTATTAATATTGGAATTTTGTGGACTTGACACATCTAAAATCACTTTCAATAGCATTGACTTGTTTGAAAAGACTATATTTTCTATTTCATAATAAATGTCACATAGCAGATTTCTTAGCTTTGAAATATAAACTGTCTCCTCAAAGTATCTGTACTGCTACACTGTAGCAGGAAATGTTCAGTATTATCAATGTCAGCCATACTTATTAAATCTACTACGGTTCGATTGCAGTGTATACACTAACATTAACTTTCTTACTAGAAATAGAATAAGGTCCTGTATTGGCCCATATATTATGAAAAGTGCAACAATTCATTGACAAAATTTGGATGTAAAAAACGACAAATAGATTTTCCTTCTGCCATAATCATTATCTTCTGTCTCCAAAAAGTTTCTGTTCTTTTTATGCCCCATCTACGATAGTAGAGGGGCATTATGTTTTTCGGTCTGTGCGTCCGTTCGTTCGTCCGTCCGTCTGTTCCGCTTCAGGTTAAAGTTTTTGGTCAAGGTAGTTTTTGATGAAGTTGAAGTCCAATCAACTTGACACTTAATAGACATATTCCCTATGATATGATCTTTCTAATTTGAATGCCAAATTAGAGTTTTACACCAATTTCACGGTCCACTAAACATAGAAAATGATGGTGCGAGTGGGGCATCCGTGTACTATGGACACATTCTTGTTTTCACATAATTTTTCCAACCTTCTTTATTCGGTATAGAATTTCAAATGTCAAATATTGATTCAAAGACATACAATGAAATTATATCATTCACAGATATAAACCAGCTATGAAAGGTGTTATCCTCCAGTACATATTTTATACAAATATCCTTCTCTATATCATTATTTCTCACAATGTTAACAAAATTTTACTATGTAAGAACGCTTCCATTGGCATCTGACCAAACAGTATATAAATTTCTGCATCAGATGTTCGTTCTGGCAGATTTTACATTTTTAAGTTGTGATTTATGAAAAAAGTTCAATTCATCCATTTCCTTTCTACTGAGCGTTACACAATCTAGCCTAAAAATCAGAAGTGGGCGTACATATGTATTCCATATCTTCATAACTATATTTGGGTTGACTCCGTTGTATCCGTGCACACCTGCATCTTTCAGCGCATAGCAAGTACGTCTAAAGCTAGCTAATTTTATTCTCTCTGTCCCTAATAAATTTTTCAACTGAATTTCGTTCAATTTCCATAATGTGTTTATGAAGAAACATGTTCCACATGTTTGTCATGTAAATACAGTTCATCAAAACATTTCTCATTCCTTCTATTATCAATTGTCATAATTTTACTTTTAGTTTCACTAATAAGGTATCTTTCTTTATCTTGTAAGTTTAACATTTTCTGAAAAGAGGTTGAGTCGGCGCACGCTGGTGAGGCGGCATGTGTTGTTCCAATTTGGAAGCTCAAATGCTTGTTTTGATGCGAATCTAATAATTGATTGATATCAAATGTAGGAGACAATATACCACATTGTCTAACTCCCTGTTGTCCATTTAAAGATTTTGAAAACTGTCTACCCCATTTAGCCCTTAATCTCATCTGCTGATACCACTTGTATACTAAAAACCAGTCCTCATCCTTAACTCCTGATTAAAACAGTTTTAACATCAACGAGTCATGCCACACAACATCAAAAGCTTTAGAAGCATCAATAAAAGCTACAAACATTTTCTTCTTACAGTCTTTGGCATCTGTAATAGCCTCAGTAAATAATTAAGCTGCATTTGTAGGGGATACCCGTTTAGTAAAGTCACGTTGCAATTTAGTTTGACATTTATTCAATTGCAGAGAAATTTTAGATAAATGTACTATCTCAAACACTCGTTACATGATACTGCAAGCAGTGATACGCATGTACGAATTTGGGGTTTACCATGACTCTTGTGTAAAGGTGTAATAATTCCAGACTGAAAGATTTCAGGTACATCTCTTTTCTTCTAAAATACGATCAAAAAGAGCTTTTAGTATTATAGGTACTATTGTCAACCAAATTTTAAATGTTCACTCATTAAATTTAATTCGTCAGGTGACTTTCCATTTTTTATTTTGCCTATAGCTTCTGTAAATCATCTAAAGTTGCATATTGCACCCCCGGATTCTCCGAATTTTGTACTTTCAAAATATTTTGGAAATTACGCTGAACAATCTGATGCTGATGTTCATAAAATGTTGAACTTGAACTAAATTTTCAAAATATGAAGCCCTACCGTCCCTTATTTCTGCTGAGTACTCGAGATGTATGCCATCAAAATAAACTAACTTAAATAGTTTCTTGGCTTGACCAGATCTCTGCATATTAACAAGTTTAAAAAAAAATTGATTTGAAGTATAAGAGTCTATTATTTCATAATACAGTTTTTACCTATTATTGGCATCCAGTTGCCACTGGGCTTGTCGAATTTTCTTTTTTGCCATTTTTCACCCATAAATTGTTTTTTTTCACATTTTATACCCAAACTTGTTTGAAAATAGTATATGCTTGTTCCCTGTCATTACACAGTATTCTCAAATTTTTGTAGGCCAAGGCCTCAATTTTCGAACCCTACGTTTTTTCACCACAACTGCTGATTCCTCTGCACTAGTTTTAAAAATATAAGCCATATTTTGAAATTGATGATCTAAAGTTTCAGATGTAATGTCTAAAGACTTAAATTTTTCATTAAGTATGCTTTGGCACTTTAACGTATCACATTTCTCCCAATTAACTCTATTCATTGTAACAATATTGTCTTCATCAGTTTTGTCAATATCCTGAAAATTACAGTGCAAAGTGGCAGTGACTGGCACTAAAAGCTTAAATATAGTCTTTTTGTGACGAAGCTTTATAATTCTGGTGAAAAAATGTATGAGATAAAGGATAATTCCTCGGTACACAGAGATTAATTTCCTGTATTGACG